CTCAAGAATGCTTCGCACTACTCACAGAGCGCTTGAGCGATGTCTTCTGAAATATAACCGGCACTCTCAATATCTAGCCGGAATGCGAAGCTTTGACCCTCGAAATCTGTATCATCATCGAGATCCAGAAGAATACACAAGGATAGCGAAACATAGATGGGCCGGTTACATAATCAGAAGAAGAGATGACAGATGGACAAAAAGAACAGTATAATGGACTCCAAGAGAATCAAACGTCCCCTATTACGACTACCTACACGTTGGGTGGGCGTGTTCGTAAACAAAGTTAATCACTTGCACCCGCAGGTGTAACTGTTTTACAGATCACGGTATGAGACTCACACGCGCTAGCTACCATGCACGAAGAAGACCACCACTATGGACTACGATTACGAAAGAAAGAAACGAATGGCAAATGTGCTAGGGTCCACACAGCTCGTGAAGACGAACCGTCCAAGTATCCAAGTAAGCAGTATATGTTCTAGCACCAGTTTTCTTTCCGAATGCTGTAATATTGACAAGCTCATCTTATGCACTTTCGTTTCGGATCGATAGTTAAATAATTTAAGTTTTTTGCGAATTTTAAAATTAAGTTTCAAATATCAAAACAGGAATCTCGGCAACTCTACTTCTACGATTTCAAACCCGGAAGTAGTGCAATGTAAACGGCTCTAAACACTGATGAAAATTGAAACAAAAAAAGTGTCATTTAACGCGCCGTGCATTGTTTGTTTGAAAATTTCGTCGTGATGAATTCGATGAAGAGGTGGCTGACCTCATTTTGCTATAAATAGCGACAAATTTAAAACTTTAGCGAAAAAAAACACACACAAATGTTCGACAACTTGCAGAAGCAATCGCTTTAAGCACATTAACTGTTTCGAGAGGCGCGTTTGTGGCGCACTGGTTGGAGGCAACACTGTGACGCACACGTGGTATAAATCCCTGCGCCCATGGCCCACCAAGCCTTCCATCCCACCCGGGTCGACAAATTAGTACCAGACTTGCCTGGGATCATAGCAGCACTGGCTCGACACATTGGTAGGCCACCGCGAGTCATCGTAAAGGCCAGCCAGATATGCATTCAATCATCTCCAACGATGCTTAATGAAGTCGAATGCATGGCGCATCGTTCAGGGATTGATCAACGCCGAGAGCTTTATCAATTTTTTTACACAAAGACGAGCAAATTATCCTCATAATAAAACGGTTTGCAATCCCTCGAATAGGGTGATTCATGAGTGGAGAAAATGAAAAAGTGGACAAAGTTAGTATGTCTGGTGGTAACAGATTACATTCCAACAAGCATGTCTACTTTCATTAATGAAAATTAACATCTCTACTATTTCCAAATTTCGCTATTTTGTCTATGATGAATTACAATCATGAGAACATTTCGTAACAACAAAACAACAACATCTCATACCTTCACCTTGATTAATGACGATTTTATCAGCATCTTCCACATGCTTTCTTATTAAATCCCTCTTTCTATAAAGAAGATCTGCTAGCTCCTCTTGCCCAGAATTCCACAGCAAATAGCGCTCTTTTTCCATCGCTTCTAGCGCTGACACTTCTGAAGTTAAGAAATGGGAAGCAACAAAGAACTTTCAAAACGAAACAGAGATATCACGAAGTACTACTTTGTCAATAACACTTCAATCAAGATCTACATTCATATTATTCTTATATGATAGACTCATTAGCCCGAAAGATCGCTTGGCAGTTTAGAAACAGTTTTTTTTTGGCAAAAATCATAGTCGTCGTCACAGTAATTTTCTCTCTTCCGTTATACTAAACTCATTTGAAAGATCTTCTGTTTCGAAATAGACGACCTAGAGCAATATGCTCATCTCATTTCGTACTTCTTATAGGAGAGTCAGAAAACCCGTTTTATCTTGTTATGTCGATGAGCAGAAAGCGTTAAGATATTCAAAATTTTTCAGTGGACATGTAATGGATGCTTGTTGATCACTTACTTCTTTTGAATGGCTGTGAGACTTCCCATTTCACATCCTTGGTATCCTGTTTGCATAGAGGCAAATTTTCCCTATCCTCATCTTTTATGTTAACATCCTTCGCATTGTCGGTCTTCAGAAGTCTCGAATTAAAAGACAACTGCTGGAAACCAACAGGATCAGAATAAGCAGACGTCTGACCATCACTGCCGCCTCCATCAGAGTCCGAAGAATCCGATGAAAATACTAAAAAAGCTTCAGAATCGTGAGCGAAACTGCGGGGCATGATTTGCTACACTGAATACAATTCTCACCTTTGAAGTAAACTACAAAGTTCTCAAAATCAAAAGTTTCTACTCAAAGCGGTTCATTACTGTGAGAAATGATTATTCGAGACAATGTAATTGTGGCCGAGTAATGGATTCATTCATTCATTAGGTTGTTCGGAAATTAATATTGGACTAGTAAGTCCATTTTACCTGCATATGCTTTGATAACAATTCTCCTTTCCGAATTCCGTATTACTGCATATCAATGGAAAGCACATTTCGCATGTTCTTCCCCAATATAATTCAACTCCGATGTAACCTGTACCTCTAACATATTCCACAAGTTTGAATTTGTCGCCAAAATTGTAAATTCCGTTGATTTCTTTTTGCAAACCATATGCATCGTAGACGGGTCGAAACACTGACAAGATATGGGAGTAAGAAAATGTTAACGAATGCACCCTACGACATCGGTTTCATGAACTTCGTCGCGGAGAACTCGAAGGGGAGATAGCGCACGTCGATCGATTTACTACTGAGTACAATCAATTGAAGGCTTTGCTGCAAGCAAACACATGCACAACTCATCGAAAACTTGCCGAAGAACTCGATCTAAGCACCTCAGCTGTTTTGGAACATCCGAAGAAAGTTGGAAAATAAAGCGCACGATTTAAATGACAACCAAAGAAGTCGCCATTTTACGGTACCGTCAGCCCTTCTACGCAAACAGAGAAACAGGAAACAGAACACATTTCTCATCCGTACTGTGCATTTCTCAATCGTGATATGCGACGAGAAACGGATCCTCTAGGATAGCTGACGATGATACGATCAGCGGTTGGCGCGAGAAGCTCCGCAGTACTTTCTAAACCCGAAGTTGCACCAAGAGAAATTCATGCTAACAGCTTTGTGATCCACAGCCGGTTTGATCGATTACAGCCTTCTGAATCCAACTAAAACAATTATAAGCGAGAAGTATGTCCAGTAAGTCAAAGAAATGCATGAAAAACTAACGGAGTCACACCGCATTGGTCTACAAAAAAGGACCGATTCCTCTCTACGATTTCGCTCAGCACACACCGCACGATGACGTTGCAAGAGTTGAACGAGCTGGGCACGGAACTCTGTCGTATCCGGCGTACTCGCAAGATCTCTAGCCTACCAACACCACATCTTCAAGCATCTCGAGAACTCGCTTTACCAGAAATGCTTCAGAAACCGAACCATGGGCAAAACTGCTCTCAACGACTCCATCGTCTCTAGATCTCCAGAATTTTAAGTATTTGGTACAAACCCTTTTTTTCTTGCAGGCAAAAATTTTTAGATCTCAATGATGCCTTACCTCGACTAAAAAAATCTACTCTGCACTGGCATTTGCACTCTAAAATCTAGATCCGCCATTAATTTCCGAAAAACTTTATTGCAAGAGAAAGTGGCAAGAAATGGCGTCTAATCTCGACGAACAAAATTTTTCAACATAGATACCCATTATTATCTAAGAAAATTTAAACTAATGTGCTCTCAAGAAAACCTAATACACCGTACTTCTCTCCAGCTGAAACTTCTCAAGCGTTAAATACAGGCAGACATTTACAGACGAGAAGATAAAGGATAAAGCTCTCACCGTTGACCAATCCCTGAAGGGACCGTCATGCGTGAGATTCCATTAAGCATTAGTGATTGACTGCATATCCTTTGCAATGACCCGCGGTGACCTACCGATGTATCTAGTCAGTGCTGCTACCCTTCCAGACATGTCTGGTACCAATTTGCCGACCCCGGAGAGATGGAAGGCTTGGTAGGCCTGGAGCGCGAAGATTGATCACATGTGTATTGCAGGGCGCCTCCGATCACTGCGATACACGCACCTTTGATAAGAAGATAAAACCACTAAATCACTAATAGAATCTTCGTTAGATATGTAGCTAGTAAAATTGGAGAAATAACAAGATGATAAATTGATAGGATTGGAATGAATGTCAAACCAACTATTTTCAATGCTGAACATAACGACCGCTCGTTCGATGATCACAACACAATGAGTTGCAGGTAAATTCGACAGCCCGTAAGAACTACAATTTAGGCGCAATCATGAAATCAGCACCGAAATCCGTTGAACAAGTATTTTCAAGTCAAACGCAACCGCTAAAATTAGAATCCTTCACATTACATAAAATATTTCATTTATTATGCAAGTGAATAGAGGAAATTCGTTATGCACATGTAGATCCGATTCAATGGCCTCAGATCTCAGAAAGAACCTAGTAACAAGTAGCTATCGATCGTTAAGTGAAAATAATTGGTTATATCACAGACGAAATGAACTACACATAAAATAAACGAAGCGGGAAAAATCTGCAAGTTAACAAAATCATGTAAGTTGTTTGAATTGATGAAAAAAAAGCGTGAATGAGCAAACCTGGAAAAGAATTTTCAAAGACACACAAGTGTACTTGGTCAAATTGCCAGTAAACGAGTTAGGACTACCGTTAATACAATCTCTGGGAAAGATTATCATAGAAACCGATCACATATTTTACCCTTAACATTTGAAAATATTACGTAACATAGAAAAATCCTCTATAGACAATTTCAAATAGATTCGACCTCATCATTGAGTCCACAAGTACCTGATATGTAGCTGAAAGCAAAGAATCTCTCAAAATACGATAATGAGAGCTGTTAATAAACAGGAAGCTTTCATAAACTTCAAAACTGATAATTAAACCTTTGATCAGATCGATCTTAACCGGACAACACTTTTCGGAAGATCTTATACACTCACGCACCGAATTTTCTCCTCTATCTTCTGCCGTCTCTTCCTTTCCTTTTCCTCTTTTTCCTTCTTTGCACGACGCAACGCCAACCGAAGTTTTATTGTGTCTCGCTCACGATCATCAGGTGCTTTTCCATCAAGTCTGATCTGAAAAGATACTTCGAGTTAAACATTAAGCTTTAAACGAGTACAAAACTAGACAACTTTTCTTAAGTCACAAAACAATGTCTATTCGACCACAATAATGCTGACATGCAAAACTCGGACCCGACGCCAGAATCGAACTCGAAATTACCGTTTCCGGGGGATTATGTGTCACGCACGGCACCACTGAGGCTTTCGCTCTGCTTTCTTCTCAAGTAAGCCTTTTTACCCCAACGGTGCCATCGTCAATCACCCGTCAACGGAAATGATCTGGGGCGCACAAAACGACGTTGAACACAGTTAAGCTGAAGCTGCAGTCGCAATCACAAAGTTTACTTTTTATTTACTGCCTATTACTTTCTCATGGTAGAGATTATGTGAAATACATCATTCCAGTTGAGATGTGATTGATGATGGCACCGTTAAAGTAAATAATTGGAAAATAGAAAGGCAAAGCGAGGACCCTAATGGTGCAGTGTGTAACAAGTGATCCCCCGCGAGGGGTAATCGCGAATTCGAATCTGCCCCATGGTCTGAGTTTTGCAAATATCTCAGCATCACTGTGTTTGTATTTCACATAATACCCTTCAATGAAAAATAATAGGCAGTAAATAAAAGGTTAAACAATGCCTATTTGTTTTTTTTTGAAAAATTACAATGAAACGGAAATGCCGACAGAAAAAGAAGTGACAAGTGAATGCTAAGAATAAGAATAAAAAAAGGAAGTTAACGTTAAGTTAGAAGTAAAATGACACGGTTTCACAACGTTTTTCTGCACTAAAGCACCATAAACGCTCCATCGCCAATGTTCAGTTTTAGAAAACGGTTTTTACGCACTCACCTCACAGCTCCTTTCGCCAAAAGCTTCTAGTACCTTCGTTCTATACTCTATAACATTTCGGACAGGATTCCCACACAGGTGAAGCGCTTCTAAACAGGGCAACAACCCTAACGGATAGACAGATTCTATGGTCTCAAGTGCATTGTTCTGTAGATCCAAATATTCCAAGGAGTACAGTCGTGAAAGACCTAAACAATGGGAATCGCGACCTAAAAAGAATTTGACACATTTATTTCAAAGTACTGCACTGTAGGTAGAAAAATGTGAGATCATTAGGAAGCGAGACCCTGGCTCGATCCTCTCCCCAAACCTTTTCTTCAATCGACGTGGGAACTTCCCAACTCCGCTATTAAGACTGCAAGGACGGCTCTCTCCAGCAGTATTCGAAAATACTAGTAAGGAAGATGAAATCCTCAAACAGCACCCAAAACAACATGCGAAGCGTTCGAAAACCTTTGTGGACGATAAATGTGAGAAAAATTAATAGAATGCAAAAAAGCTGAAATCCGCACAGTAGATGTGATGGCGGGTCATGTAAAATAAATAAATAATGTTAGAAAATAGTAAACATCAATGAAAGGGACAAATATCACAAGTATAAAGAGGCAGAACTTTTACAATTTCGTAAATCTTACCGTACCCGAAACGTCTCTGATGGCATTATTTGATAAAATAAGCTTTTTTAAGTTTCCGAGTAATTCATTCCACTGAAGAATAGAGCTGATGCCATTCCTATAAGTTTTTTCCAAATAATACTTTTTTATTCAGATAAAGGAGTTCTATCAAAACTTACGAAGACAAATCCAATTCAGTAAGAGAAGTAAGTAACTGCAAATAACAACCAATTTCTGTTACGTTGTTGTGGCTAATGTTCAACCTTTGCACGCCACCAAGTAACTGCTGAAATAAACATAAAGATTATACTAGTTCTAAATTATGGCTTAAGAAAACCACTATTTCACTAAGATCCTCTTGAACTAAGAACGCCAGTTTCTAAGAAAACCGTTATTGGCAAAGGATGAAATGGCCAAATCTGTGGATTTCTCAGATATACTTATGAGGCCAATATTCTTCTGATAGCACAAATCTAAGTAGTGACATTCAATTAAATATCCGTACTTATCACACTGTTAAAGAAAATATTCAACTCACAATGCTCTCATCAATGTCTTTGAGCTCATTGAACGAGAAGTCCACTTCTTCCAGACATTCCCAATGTTGCATTTCTGAAAACGGCACAAGTGGAACATCTTCCACTAGTAGATCCTAAAAACCTCAAGTTCAAAATGTATGAATTGCGAAATTTAACCCGAATTTATGACTTCCTTGAGGACCTGATTGTGGACTTTGCCTAAACAATAAATTTCCAGATAGATTGTTAAACTTCACGTTTTTCTTCTTGACGGATCGATTTTTGCAATACGCCTGTAATGGAGGGATAGATGTCCTGCAAACAGTGTGCAGACCAGGGAGCGTATTAACACGACTGCACCTTATTATTGGACTGCGTAATAGAAGCTTTTACGCTGCCTCGTTTGAGCGGACATTCAAACAATAAGCCTACCAGCAATTAATGTACGCCCCTACTCTAGGCCCGAAATTCAGTTTTGATGGACCTCTCTCAGAAAGGATTACAAATCTTTAGCGATTAAATCAAAGGAACGTTAGGGTACGAGTAAGTGATATCTCGGTTGAAATGCCTGAAAACTCCATCGTCGTATTTGTAAACCCTGAAAACCTTATATAAATCGTGAATTCTCTCAACCGACCTTAATATTATTCATTGAGTAATGAACGATGAGCCGACGTAAAGTGCGCTTAGTAGTGCTCAGTCCATGCACTTTAGAGACGTCCGAATCCGAAATCTTGAATTTTAAATAGCACGGCGAAAATAGAACTTGTAAAAGGCCTACCCATGAAAGATTTACACTCACCCATAGAGCCAATAAATTCTTGCAACAATGGAGACTATAAGAAAGCGTGTTCCACACGATATTAGACGTTCCAACGTAACCTTTTGCTCCACGAATTTTTAAAGCCCGAACTCGATGTAAGAAGTCGATAGTATTCCCGAGGTCAGCTACCATCCGAGGATCTGAATACACCGAATACTGAGGATTGGTAGGCATTTACTATGGGAAGGACTGCGGTTTTCTATTTTCAAACAAACACAGACATTCTTCAAGAATCTTACTCCCTCTAACAGATTTGCATTGAAATTACGGCATTTTCAATGAGTTTCAAGTTTTACTGTTCACCTGTAATCCATACTATTCTCTTCAACAGAAATCTTTGTTAAGACTTTTGAGTAGACCAGTTAAAGAAAAAACAAGTTCCCCAAAACATTCTGCTACAATAGGATTAAAAAAGTAAAACTCTAAAATATCGAATAAACAACATCATACCTTAAAGCCTGAGTCACAAAGGTATATCGGGAAATCTTCATATGGAACAAATATTTTTAAAGGAATTATAAAGAATAAAAGGGAGTCCAAAACATCCGAAATAACTCACAAATCATAGAAAGTATTGAGAAATCATTGCGAAAACTTTCCGTTTACACGCGTAATCTTGTGTTTAAGCCATGTTGGTAGAGGCACTTGTTTTGTAACCTGCATCTCTGACTTAATGGTAAACATGTAAAGGTCGAAAACGCCTTTACAAAAGTGCAAATTCGCATTAACATGACAATGAGAACCCTCTTCTCAAAGTTATTAAGGAAATGGAGTTCAAATTACCCCACTACAACCACTAAACGTTTTGTACGGTCAGAACTATTATCAAAGAGGCTGCAGTACATTACAGCAGGCTCACGTCCATCCATGTGAACAACTGCCTGACAGGATGCTTAATGTGAGAAGAAATTTACTTTCTCCATCAATGAAGAAAGGTTTCGAAGAACCGGATTAAGAGAATTTTTCTAATCCTTCAATTTTTAAAAAGACCACAAAAAACTGGCAATATTTCTCATCCAGTTGTTGAAAACGTTTTAGATTAGGAACGAAACACTGTATTCCATAAAATACTTGCCGGTAAAACTGTTAAAGAGTACGTAAAAAAAGAAAAACTCACTGTCACGGAGCTTAAAAGAGCGTAGTCTTAAATACTGCTTTCTATACCAAGTAAAATCTCCCCTCAACGGCTGATATTTTCCAGCAACGATTTTCTTATAACCTCGACATTGCTCAATGATTCACTGTTTTTTTTGATGAGCAAACACGGGGTTGTTACTAGACTCTTTGATCACAAAAGCCGAGATTTCGGCGGAAATCGCCGTCTTCAGAGATTCGAAAGGTCAAATTGACACGCGATCCAGGCAACGTGTTTGCTCGTCTAGAAAGCAATGCATGATTGATACTTCGCTTACCGTGTTTGACTGAATTAATTCTTCCATTGGAATCTCTATAAATGATTGATGCTATGTTATTCTTAATTAAGCTTCAAACCTAATAGGTATTTTATCATCTGCGTTTCAAATTTCGATTCTTTTTTCGACAAAAAAGGAGATCGGGCATATTCTTCACACATATAATGAGGTGTAAGCAGCGTAGCGAAAATATCAGGATGCCAAGAGTGCGTAAGGAAAAAAAGCAATTTTCTTCTTGCATTCAAAAAAAGTATAGAGCGCTTGGTGTTGATTAATCCTTGAGAGATGCCCTATGCATTCGACTTAATTCGTAGCACCGCGGAAGTGGCTGAATGTATATTTGGCACACACAATGACTTGCTGTATCCTACCAATGTATTAAATCCGCGATTTTATCCTCTCTGAGAAGTCCGTTAATAATTTACCGACTACAAAGTGATGGAGACCTCAGTTTATCATATGTGCGATATCCAACCAACAACGGTGGAAGAATCGCACAGCACTGCTAACCTCTACGCTATACACGTTCACCTACGCTTAGACTCAAAACACATCTACAAAAGATCCGTTTCCTAAGAAGTGATACCTATCATTCACTTCTAAAACGTTTTGCAAAGCAATATCAAAGGAATATATAACAATGAAGAATGAATTCCTGTTCAGTTCTACCAAAAAAGTATGAGAGTATATCTATAAATGATATCTTCCGACAACCTCGTGTAAGCTCATCAAAGAAAGAATACATATTGATTAGTCGCCTCGAGGTTAAAGGAAATTCGCTTTTGAACTACTACTACTACGCTTTGTGCTAGCTGATAATAACACCAACTTTAACTTATTATTTACTGCCTACTCTTTTTAACGGCAGGAAATACATTGTGAAATATAACTTCAACGATGCTGAGATATTTGCAAAACTCCGAACCGCAGGTGTATGCGGTGAGTATAACTGCGGCCTCAGCTTAACTGGGTTCGTTGCCGATTTGGGCCCCCCAGATCAATCCCGCTGACGGATGATTGCTGATGGCGTAAGATCGATAGAACTAGCTGAGAGACAGGCAAAACGAAGAACCCGGATGGTGTGGTGGTGAAGTGCGCTACTCTCCGGTAAGGACAACAGTGCGTTCGTTCCCACCGCATACACCTGCGGTCTGGAGTTTTGCAAATATCTCAGCATCATTGAAGTAATAACACCAACTTTTGCAGGAATGACTGTCCAGAAGAAAGTTGTTATCACCAGACAATCATTATATCCACTATCACCATTCTGCATAAAAGGGCATCACCGAGTGAGTATTCCTCACTCGAGGAGATAGCCTGCTGAGGTAAACCTGACTCAACACGAAGGCGAAGACTCTTCATCGAGACGAATAACAAGCGTGGACCGTCGACTCGGATCATCGGCTCTGATGAAAACGAAGACGTCGAAACGTTAGCCGAAAATAAATATATCTATCAACCTCGTGTAAGCTCCTCAAAGAAAGAATATATATAAGGGATATCATTAACCAGGGAAAAGTCAGTCCAATTTCGTTATAACTGGTATGCTTGCATGGAAAAATGGGCTTAATATAAATGTACTCAGATCATTATGCATTTCATTTCGCTATTTTTTCACATAATTGACTATGATTAATGAATGCAGGACTTTTTATAATTTTCTTAAGAACGGCGATTAACTTCAGGACATCGAAATCCCCCAATAATTACTTCAGTTATTTCCATTATTATTTCCACTGTAATAAACCAGGTTTGCCCAAGTGAACAAATCTCTTTTCATTTACTCTCTTTCTTTCTCTCTGGGATCGGCAGATTGGTAGTCAGATCATCCGAAAAGGATGAAAGACTGGTATGTCCTTGACTGGACCGGAAGTAATTGCATGTGCCCATCTCTTATTTACCGCCTCAGTGATGGAAATCCGAGTGCGTCGGCACATTCTTCAATAGAACCGTAAGCTTTATCCTTTTTATGTCCCTTTTCTTCTTGAAATCCAGAAACAAGGAATCTTACTAGAAATTATGTCTATACAGAATGAAAACTACTTTACTTTAAAAATTCCAGTTTAACACAAACTGTTGCTGTGAGCACTAAAAGCTTTCTAAATCTCTAGCATTGCCAAATAAGTGTTGCACATTCCTAAAAAGGTTTGTGGAATAACGGGACAGGAAAATTAGATTAATGAAAATATCTGGTTTTCCTCCATCCATAACAATCAGATGGAAAAAGAAATAAACAAAAAAAGAAAATATTAATGCATCGTTTTCTTGTTCAGCAATCGCGAGGTTTTCAAACAGGATACATTTACTTCCATAGAGAAACACAATACAATTCAACACTAGCTGACGTTTCGGCAGTACCAGATGACTCAGAGTCATCAACCATATGCGACTACAATCAGCTGTTCTAAACCTCCTCATTGGAAGTCACGTAAAAAGCGGCTCTGAAGAAGGCGATACTGCCGAAACGTCAGCTAGTGTTGCATTGTATAGTGTTTCTCTATGGAAGTAAATGTATCCTGTTTAAAAACCTCGCGATTGCTGAACAAGAAAACGACGCATTCATATTCCAATGCCGAGGTTAATAGAAAGTCGATCCTGGGAACTATTAAAAGAAAATATTGTTCGGAGAAAGCATTTGCGATGTCAACTTAACCATAGTCAGAACAGTAATTGATTTCTAAAAATATTGCAATTGTCTAAGGTGATTTGTAACCACCTCACATGCACTTTCCAGTCATCTGATGTCAGGCTTTCAGCCTTCTGACTTCTAGGATATAATCTGCACACGCTAGCATTCCGCCTCATATATTCAAAAACATGCCTATTTACATACACAAAGTATAATTCAATCCGGAGCAACAGAAAGAGAGTTCATCTCCTGAATAAAGTCGTTTTTGGTCAACACTACATATTCCCATATTCATTATCCAGAAAGCGCATAGTTTCGCGACCGAGAGACTCTAGATCGCTAACAATAGAAAGGAGATTTGTAACCGCTCATACATTTGGAAGTATTTCCAGCACGCACTGTCTCCTGAGCAGCTTATACACCAGATCTGTCGGAACGTTCTGCAACACGCTCAATTTTGGTTTAAATTCCGTTTAGCCGAATAAAGTGTTAAGGTCAGTCAATCAGTAGGTGTGGCCACATCACACACTTCTAATGGACTAATTAAAAGAGTCATTATTCAACATTAAGTTGTAATGAGACATTAGTCAACCGGGTTTACAGCCCATCGTCAACTACCAATTCCCACTTGGGTGCTACGGAAAAAAACATATGTTCATCATCCCATTACGCGCAAACGAGTAAGTGCTTTTAATTACGATACACTTCGAAGAACAATTGGTCCGCAACGCATTCTCCAACAGCAACAGAGCGCGACCTTATATGAATTGGCAACGATGCTTGATTGGTACGTCTACTGAAAAACACTAAGCACTTGACATCATGAAAAAAACGAGTACCTAAGAATTCCACCTAATTAAACACCGTATCATCTTGTTAGCAACAGTTAAGTGACAACTGCAATCTTAGTGCTTTTTTCTTCTACAACCCATCAGAAAAACCTTTTGGCCACACCAATACTGAAGATCAATATTGGCTTATGTATGTGCATCATCCATGCAAACTATACAAGAGGAAGATATTTATATGTTGCTGGAATTCGGAAGGAAATTGTATTGTTATGAGCCTCTACAAACCACTCCCACAGAACGGCTGCCGTTTATCGTGTTAAACTTCTAGCTGAAACTGCCCGATGCTGTACAATAAATGTATCTGCCCTCAACATAAACAATGTTCGCTCACTAACACACCATAGCACACTTGGAAAGAAACTCATTCGCGCCCGTTGCACCACTCAGAGAACTTGCTTTCCGAGGAGTAAGATCAAGATGTTCATCCCCAATGCATTAGACCTGTGTTTACAGTATCGCAGAACTTTAGAAGCAGTCAAGTAGATTTGACAGAATCATACAAATATCTCATAAAAATTACTATGTAATCAGTGAAGTAGAATAAAATTTCCACTTGTAAGCATATAAACCTTCTCCAATTCTTGCTAAATAAAACTGAAACAAAAATAAGACAAACAGCATATGAGGTAAATCCTACGTAAGGTTCTGATACCCGACTGGATATCTCTACGCACTACACGAGAAATCAGCTGGCATACGGAAATCATGGTGTTAAAAAGGAAACAGCTAATCCATACCTGGAGCTGTAGGTTCAGGAAGTCGAAGTCGTTCCGTTATGGCGTGCATTTCAATTGGTGTGAATTCGAAATATTTCGGTGATGTTTCACTGCTGATCAACCATTCATCTCCCACGTCGCCAAGTCGAGCTGACAGGTCATCAACAATCGAGTGTATTTCCTGAAATTATTGTTCTCCTAGAAGCTGATCAGTTTCATTAAAAAAGCAATATTATACACAGAACGACACATATACCACCTACAACAACAAATCTTTAGTGAAAAAAATACGCGAAACAGGCCAAAGGCTTCATCACGTTTCTGGACTTCAATTCTTACTATGGTACAGATGTTCTCAAATCAACTGTTGAGATGTTCTCCATATTTAAATTCTTCATATTTCGAATAACTCTCGTCTCATCTTCTAGAAGATGATAGTGTTTTTAATCATGGAACAATGAGCAATCATCATTCTGGTCCCTGAGCGGAACTTTCGTTCATTAGCGGCGATGCGGCGCTGGTGGAGACGTGCCCTATCGACGACGACCACCAGGACGCACAATCCTTGTTAATTACGTGTGTGGTATGATCAGCCAAGCCAATAGATAATTAACGTCAATGACCTGCTGCTGACCATATCGTTTCCTCACACGGATAACATATCAATTCAATATTCCGGACAGGTTACTACGTTTCTTATCAGGAGCTGCCTCTGTGCATGACCACAGTTTTATAGTAAAAAATGAGTAAACTGAGCTACAAGAAAAGACAGAAACAACGAGAAAGCAAATGAAGCTAAATGATTTTTTTTATTTTACATGATCCATCATCACCTTTACTGGGCGGACCCCAGTACTTCTCATATTCGATTGGTTTTCCTCGCACTCATCGTCCACAATGGTCTTCGAAAACTCCGCGTCTTGTTCCAGCTGCTGTTTGAGGATTCCGTCTACTTATGGATGTCGTAGAATACTTGTCAAGTAAAATATCCTTGCAATCTTAGACATAGCCGACCTAAAGCGTTCCCACGTGGATTGGAAGAGAACGATATTGTCGGGATCGAGCTAGGGCCTTTGTTTCCTGATCGAGTGCCTCACTAACACTGCGCTATCCGCGTGCTCAGTCAAGTGATCAAAAATATGAAACTAGAACAGTGTTTAGGAATAGTTTGGCATTTCAGATGAGATTTTCCGTTAATCACATTTCAGTGAAAAAATAATTATGCGACGATGGAATGACTATCCTCTGCAGGATGTGATAAAGAAATGAAAAAGAAGAGGTGGTAGTGTTCCAACTAGTTAACATCTTGAGTTTCTTAAAAGCTAGAATGTTCTTAGAATAATATCTTGTGACACAACTATACCAAATACTCCCACTGCAAGGAAAAGAGATGTCTGGTGCCCCACGAAACTCGATATCCTCTACTATTAGAATCGCAGAGCACTCTATGCAGCAATATTGGTCTCGGTAAAGAAGAGTAGACTACTGCGACCAGTACAACATTAAGAAGTACACTTTGCCGCGATTTCAGCAACTGATCTTACGTTATGTGATTTGATTTTAACAAGTTACAGCGTCAACCTAAATAAGAAACTTGACACTTTCAGACGGTAGTCCAGCTAAGAGTGAACTCATGCTGTGATAGAAAGCGACGACCTAGCAATGTCAACGTTCTCGCCGAAAACTAGAGAAAAGGACACCATATCAAAGTACTAAGCTCTTTTCTGTATCCGCTAAGCGAGTGAAACCTACTGGGCTGCTCTGATGTGGGAGCTGTACGAATGAAGTTTACTAGTGATCGATCGAATTATACGGTGATTAACGGGACTTATAGTTGATAAAGGTGACAGGTGATGCTTCCTCTAGTAATAATCAGAGCTGCTCAAGAGCGCTGTTTTACAATGTACCATCAAATAGGAAGCGACAGCTCTACGATTCCGTTAAAAAAAACCCTATTACGAGTCTCACAAATACATTCGAATTAGCATAGTTTTAAAAGTCTGGAAGCGTGCATAAAAGGAAAAAGAAATCCATTAAGAATCAGATTCTTACGCGAACGCCAATTTGGTACAACTATCCCAAATCCATTCAGCGTTAAGCAATGAATTATTCTAATGAATACGTTATTAAGGTTCCATCTGCTTTGCATAGAGTTTCCTGGAGGCAATATCGTGAATAAAACATTCCACTCAATAGTTCTTTAGTAGTAGTGCTCGCCATTGTTCTCCGATAAAAGCCAAATATTTCTGTTATACTTCACATGATCAGTCCAAGCACTCTTTAAAATAACAAAGCATATTTGGTCGGCATTTGCTTTTCTTCATAAAAGAGAAACATTTTATTCATTATATTTGTAGTGGCCAACTAAATTCGCTGTTCTAGTCAGCATGCTAACTTGTTTATTCATTGCATGACGGGATTCTCAAATTACAATTTCCTTGTTGAATTCTCGATCCAACAGCAACGATGCCATTCATTCTTCAAAGCAACTGTATTGCTACATAAAATCCTCAATCAGCTACAATGATGGTTATTTTCCAAAGTTTCGTTCAGACTTGTACCACTTTGACCGAAAGCAATTCAATGGTTTCGTGGGATTCAAATGTGGATTTTTCAACCATTCACCATACTCATTCAAACTGCGTCCGTGCAAGAGCTCGTGCATGAGTACCCCCACAGTTGAAGTGGCATTATATGGACGTGGACGAGGTCACATATGCATTCCGACCCAGTTGCGAACGCCTTACATATTACGCCAGACATAATCGGCAGAAATATGCTCTTCCCTCTGCGCAATCTCGAGGAAGCACAAAATAAGAGCGAAGGGAACAGATGGCAGACCGAACGGACGTGTACGTCGGCCACTGGCTAAATGGCAACACAATCAACCAGCTCCGATCTCACAGCTCAGCAGACAAGCACAAGTCCGAACAATCAAGCGAGCACAACACCCGCATAATATAATACCACGCTATGTGGGTCATTATCACAAACAACCCTGACGCTGACATTCTGGAATTACCAGTAATTCGTGACTTCCTTGAAGAATTTTTCTTTTTTTTTGAGTAACAGCCATCACCTATGAAATCACTTCACTAACAAATTCAGATAATTACAGCACTGGACAACTTCTAATCCACACAAGTGTCTATTGAAAGATTTCGAGATAAAACCAAACTTCCAGAGACAATAACCAATCGCAATGCACTGCAATGACCGATTAAAAACAAACGTTATCCGTCGTCGTCACTAAAAATCGTCTCAGTGCTTTTTCTAGTTAGAAAACGTATAGAATTACACATAACGCTGTTAACTAACGAAGACGCATTGCTATTCTCCCTACGGCAACTCAAAAGTCAAAAATTATACTTGTCAAAAGGACTTAGGAAAGGAAACGATAACATCATGGTGCCAAATCTTTAGCCACAATAAAGGTTTGAGTTCAACATCCCCTATTATTTAGGAGTAAAAACCATTCTTTTACGGTCATACCGTACTTTATCCATCTAACTATCCCTTAACTCATTTGTTCATCTCAAACATTCGTTTTTTCTTCCATCGCGAGCCGGGACTGTTCCAACATTTCTAGTAAGGAATTAAAGCAACCAGTTTTTAAGACATTCGTTTCAGCGAAAAAGATAATTTAGAGTCTAATGAGACACAAATCACAAACCACCCTACTCGATAGTCGATTCGCGTATCTATTCAGTTATTCGACGAAATCACCGATAAATAGCTACCGTTTGGTCTGTTGTTACCTCATTACGATGATAATCACGAATTGAATAGTCTATGAGGCGTGAGCGAGCGCAATTGAGAGCAGATGAGATGGGTGGTGGCGGTGTTTACCTGTACCAACCACCCCATGGGATACGCGCACAACATCATCCACAATATGTTGTGATGTATGATCAAACTCCAGACTTCTATTCCCTCTCTAAACGTTGTTGGCTTACTACATCATCGAATCAATTAACCCAAATACCTTTAAAACTTAATTAGTTCACATTAGCAGTCTAAATGATCGCTATGCTCTGAAATATGTGCTACTTTAGGCAATGGAACCATGCAAATGTATAACATTCAACCAAATCGCGGTTAGGAATGAAGAAAATCGAAACTGCAGCAACTCCATGTTATACATTCCATGTTATATAACATTCCTTACATTCCATTTTATATAACATTGCACAAATATTTGGAAACTTTTCTATCGTCCATAAATAAATTTCACTAGCCCACTTAGTGCCCCACATAGGGTTACACCTTGTGCTTACGTATTTTTCTTACGATATGCTTTTTAAAAAGTTCCACTATGACAGATTTTTCGCAAACTTTTACTGTTCTTTCTAATCCATTCCGAATGTTTATCGGATCCCACTCACATGTAAGTGAATAATTAATATATAGTGAACAAAGTGAAATGAAAAGGACATTTATTGGGCTGAACTAGTTACGCTATGTCTACCCATAACGTCTTCTATCATTCCGCGTTTGATTGAGAATTTAACAACGGTTAATATAATCTGAAGTTTTGAAAGATATGGAGTGTTTATCTGAGAACCTACTCTCTATTATTCGTTAACCAACGCTTACTGTCCGCAAAACAAACTGCAGGTCTTCGCTCTGCTGGAGATATAAGGCAATTCCAATCCAGTCCACGCCAAGCGTTCCTGGTAGGGCTTCTGACCATTAGAGTTACTTGAGCTCACCGTTGTCTCCTGACAGAACAGAGTCCGTCACGGGAACATGATTAGTTTGCCACTGGCTAGCACCGCCGTGCCTGCCGTCTCCCACTCGTCGATGTCGATTCGGCGAGGCCTGGCCGGCCTGCTGACCCCCTCCTCGTGCCTTCCCTCTTCGTCCTCTTCGTCCTCCTACTCGTCGTTGCATCCTAGAGCGCTCCGCTCCGCCCAGCTCATTGCTCTTGAATTGGCTTCCAGCCAAATTAGAAGTATTCTCCCACTTCAACAACACGTCGTTCGTTCTCCTCCTCATCGAGTTACGACGCTTCAACCAACAATACCCAAACGTTTTAGCCACAGTCGCCTACTGATAGCGCTGGTATCGTATTCACTCCAGCTCTAAGCTACACTTTCTCCCAGTTCCGTCTATGGACCAAGGAGGTGCTGCTTTTATATTCTCTCGTTACTCTACAGAAAATCAATTCGTTAAATCTTGAAAACAATTCAAACGTCATATATGTCATATAAAATGTCATTAAGTATAACTTCATTGGTCGTATTGTTCTGAGTCGCAAACATGAGTCCATTCATTATAGGTAGTTTAATTTATGATTCTCCAGTACATTTCTCTAAATCTTCACATTTTCGTTCTTTCTGCTCAGTTAGATAAAACGAAGAAAAAACCTAACGAGTAAACACAATCTCAAGATGAGGTTATTTCCGTCGACTTTCTTCTTCTTCTTCTTCACCGTTGTTTTCAACTACACTCTGCAACTGGATGCGAAAATATAGTAATAAATGAAAAGTAGTGATAAAGTAATAGTAAGAATAAAAATATAGTAATAAACTGTGTAAACCACAAGAATAACTTTCCTTCCAAAGGAGCTTCTGCTAGAGAATGTGAATTGTCAGTTCTGCTCGAGAAATCATTTGAGAGGTTCAGAAATCGGTCGGTATTTTTGATAAAATAGAACATAAATGATTCGTTCAGTAAAACAGCAGATGAAAATGCTGGAGAACGTTACGAAAAAAAGAACGACTGTGTTCGAATTTGGACTCGTTCCATCATGAGAATCGTTTTATTGCCGGCAATTATTTGCACGGTTGTTTCGAATCGTTTTCTCTATAAAAAGACTATTTCATCCCTAAATTGAATACAACTAGTAAATAAAAGAATATGAATTGTTTTAGGCTTTATGTAAGACATTTTGAACACGCGTTCTCCAGTTTCTCTCTCGCAATCACAAATCAACAACCCATTCAGCGAAACTACTACACTAAATAACCTTAAATTTAATGTTTCATTCCTAAGAACTAAATCCACACACGTATGGCCAATATCTCTAAAGTAGAATGAGGATTTACGAAACCAATTTGGACCGAAATACCGTATTCATAGCGAACCGCATGGTAGTGCATCGTTTTGCATTTCGTGAATGTTTTGCGACCTTCTCACATTCATTGGGTCATTTGCCAACCTGACCCCACGTCAAACAGCACCACCACCACCAGCACCCTGCCGCTGTCCAATTACTACCGCCAAATTGATACAGTCCTGTTCATACAACTGACATATGGTCGTTACTCTCCAAAAGTTAGCCTGATAATACAACTACTCTTGGAAACCCTTGAAGCGAAATTCTTCCCATTTATCGTGATAACTATTCCTTAATGCTTGCTAATTGTTATACCTGTTAGCTTTTTTTAAAACAAAAGTTCGTTACGTCGGTTGGCTTCCTACGACCTCACATTATTCAAAGGACAAAAAATTGAGATTCCTCAGTATAGCCATTCACTAGCGGTTCTAGCTTAGCAGTTTTTAATGAGAATTCTTAATGATAGATAGCGTTCTCGCTAAGACGAATACCCATAAAAAATACAGTGTATTTTGGACTTATCTGAGAAATTTATAGCTTCAAAAGGTTCTCTAGTTCTAAATGGTACAACTCTCACGTAGTACAGGAGTATAACAGACGACGCTTAGCCAAAACGACGTCCAATATGTGGCTTGACGGATCCATTTTCAACATATTTTCTAATCTATGAACTGAAACGTCCATAAGAAGCAAAACACTGTTGTGTTCTACTAAATGTAGAAGTAAGTAAGTTTATTTGCCATCGAGAAAAAAAAGCGATTGTCCAAATCATCAGTAACGTAAAGAGACGCCATTGCCTTAAGACAACAACAGAGCAGAGATTTCAAATCCGATAACTCAGCTGCTGTTTCGCTAAGCAGTCGCTATAGCGATTTTTGGTCGCTCAACTCTTCCTCAAGAAATTCGAGTGTTTGCAAAAACGAATTTGGTCGTTAGAAACAGAAGTTAAGGAAACTTTAGTAATGAACTAGAGAGAGAAACAGCAACCCCCTAATTTTTGACACGCATAGGTGGTACGAAATCCGGACCACACTAACCAAATTCACCAAAGTTCAGAAAACTGTAGTGTCTAACTAATTTGGGAACTACAGAAATACTTCTTTACAACGAATTAATCGTCAAGACTGATCCGATATCACATATAAGCACACTTGACCATAATGTTGAACGTCAAGCAATCTGCTTCTTTAGTATATCTAGAGTAAAAGCATTTTTGTCGCGTATAAGTGCAACATCTACAACTTCACCACAAACAGCAGGTCAGAAAATCCATCGTCTAGCAGCTCTCATCCACTCACGCACTCGTATTCCGAGGCGGTTCGTTCTCCTCCTTCGGTCCTCGGTCAGCTTGTTTACATGTCGATTCTCAAATAATTGCGCAAGTGAACGGGACTTCAGACCCTCTCCACATTTCCGCCGGTTGTACATCCAATATATGCCCAAAGCACTTCCCTCAATGATTAATTTTCAACGTCTATCTTTCACATGAAAACATATCCGCTCATCGATTAGCGCTCATCGTTGCTTTGATTAGTTAGTGTAATTTTCCGTTTTTCTTTCTTTCCTAATGGCTTCTTTAGCTAATATTTTTAGCGAAAGTGTATTCCGAGGTAGCTGGTTGATCATTGGTTGATTCAAAACACATTGAGACTACGGCGAAATTACTAAAAAACGCTTACATTTCGCTTTTCCTGCAAACGTCATTGCATCTATTGTAATTGACTATGTTTGCCGTTTTCACATTTGCAAAATTTTGTAGACGTTAGCTCCAAAGGGATAACGAAAAATCGCTCGCAACTATGTCGAAATGGCTCACACCCATAATCCGATTACGACAGCTTTTATTAAGAGGGTGGAGTCGATGAAAAAACGTATGAGTTTGTGTGCATAAAATCTTTTCCGTCTTTTCGTCGCCTTCATGACGCAGTTAAATCCTGTTCCACATTTCATTTCATTGACTATTCTTCAGCTGAAATATATCACATGGAATTTCTACCCTGATAGTTTCAGAAGCTGTGTACGCAAACACAATTGGTCGAGATCCCAGACACGTAATTGAGGAAGTGGTCGAGGAAAACGCCGAAGAATACAATCCTCACGCCTCCTACTACGACGGAGGCGAAGAAAATCCACTGAAAACGGGCGACAATTGCAATCCTGGTGACCAAGTCGCATTAGTACTTGCGCCACCGACTAAATACCACACAATGGCCGTTGTTCCTGGTAAACGTTGCTGTTTGATAGCATCTCAAACGCAAACTGAAAATATGCTTAAATTCCTCAGAAAATAATTTCATATTTGCTAGGTCATGGTAATGAAAGAGGTATTTCCAAAAAAACACAGATAACTAAGCCAACATTATACCGTTAAGGGAATTGCTAGTTATAGGAGCTTTCAAGGTCTTAGTATTTCAGGACACTGTGTTCGAGGATTTCTCGATGTATCCTCGTTCATTATCTGTCTAGTTCTTGTCATTATTCAACTAGGACTTCTGGATTACTACTATGTCGCAGTACTTTCGGATAAAATATGGTACTCATGGATCGGCGCTGATGCACTTGTCATTGTTGTATTGTTGTGGTTGCTTGTGCTCGCTATCAGGTACAATCAAACTCAAATGGAGGAGGTGTGTTCAGTTGGTGGGTTGGCAGATTCCTCAGTGATAAAAGGGAATCAGAAGAAAATTTTTAAATACTTATATCCCGCTTTATAAAAAACCCCCTGATTTCAGATGGCAAAGTAAAATTCGCATGGATAGGTTGGCTTGTCTACTCCCTAGTGTTGGTGGGAAAAGTTGCCACATGTTTCCGTCTCTTCTATTCTGAAGTATGAAATGCACTCAAATTTAACGAAATAAGTGGATGACACGTCAAAATGAAGCAGGCTATTTGAATTTCAGCTGCCTCCCGGACCACTCGACAATAACGACAAGCATTTTGATGATCACCTGTTCAAGCTTGGACTCTCCTTGTCGGTGCTGATCTTCCTATTCATGCTTGAAGCACATCACTACACGCCTCTCATGAGCGCTCGCCAGCTTTACATAACTTATCTTGTCACTGCCATTTGTCTTGATCTTGTCGACAACATTTATTTCCTTGATCTTCTCTGGCAATCATTCGTAAGTTTTCCACCAGCAAATTAATATTCTCTGCTACATAGAATACGTCGCTGGTCGCATATACTCCTTTTCTTACGTTTAAAACGGATATGCTTAAAAGCACTTTTTGTCAAAAAATATTGCGTACATTTAGAATTAAGAAGAAAGAAAACCAAACATGATCAGTCTACTAGCAAACTACTATTTTGGAGTAATCTGAATTGAGAAAAATTCTTAAGCTTCCTGTCATATTAGTTCACTTCAACTACCTAATTGTAATCTATTGCTTACTATAATTACTATAAAATTCATTTAGAAAGATGGCTGGAATCTACCTCTTTGGCTCGATCTTACTATCTTAATCCTTGCATGTCTAAATTTTGTTATGCCGACATTCGCACTTCTTAAACTTCGATTTGGACGATATCCGCGGCTCTTGTATGTGAACGATAAGATCTGGAGTCTGATATATGTGCTCATCGTAAGTGTTATGAACTTTGAGACTAAAATAAGTAAAAGAGTAGAAGATAATAGCATTTGCTGCAACTTAGATGCAGCGGAATTTTCAAGATATTTCTGACTTCTAAGCCAATAGCTCGTTGAAGTCCGAAAACACTGAATTTTCAGGTCAACGGACCATTCCTCGGTCTTCGCATCTATCTTTACGTATTTTTGGAGATCCAGCAAAGAGGCAGACACTACGATCTCAGTCTTTTTGCAGTCAAAAACATTGCCATGACGTATTTGGCCGTGCGCGAGATATGGACCCGACTCCAGTACTGGCGAATGAAACGAGCCAGTTCGTTGCGCGGTGAACACACAACTCAACAAAACGCAGACACTGAGCACTAGAAGTTTTCTTGTTCTGAGTTTTTCTTACAGTAAATTGAAACAAGTTATCAGTGTTGTACATTGTTTGTGCCGTATCGATTGAAAACTTCAAGTTAGACGATAGGAATGTACAACACGAGCGTTACTTTCAACAAATACTCGACTCCATCGAAGGGATCCTTTCGCTTTAATTTTAAGTACCAGTCGGTGTCAAGATAATTGGATTATCGGCCTCCACTACAATATTGAACACCTCTGATATGTTTCACTGCTTTTGTTTTCTCTAACTATAAACGTAACAACTATAAAGTACAAGAAAATTCTCCGACTTTCTCCAAAAGAAAACCAAAAAATGGGACACACCGTACGCTATGTCGATTTATAACACCAAACATTGTACCTATTTCAAATAGATTTCAGGTTCTTCTTCGTTTCTCGAATTGTACAAAACCTTAAGGATAGCGAAATGATGAAAAACACTAGAAGTAGTGGATTGTCAGCTTAATCCAGTTTTCTTGCTTGCCAGCATAGTGTGCCAGAGATTCTGTTGATCGTAAACGTATGGCTTTCCAAATTTCATTCCTATCGCAGCATTCCTGTTTCAAGGAATGCTTTTTCTACTTAAACTATTGTCAAATAAAGCACTAAATAAAGTGTTCATTCAACGTAACTTTTAATTAGATGAGTTCTTCTCCTCATAGTTGAAGAAGAAAGATGGCCTACTATTAAACAACATGACAAGACTGTTGCATTATTTTAACAACACTTTTTTTTTCTTTTTGTACTCTTTGTAAAATGGGAAAACCGCTTTGTATTGTTATTATTATATATTAATATTACTGTGTGGATACTGTGGTCTTATCGCGCTCCTAATAAAATACAACGAGGGCTTATCTGCTAGAGTGAAACAGAAGCTTTAAAAGAAACTTTTAACAGAATCTAATCATTACCAAAATTTACTGTGATGACATTACGAAACCTTAGGCTTGACTACTTCCGCAGATATGAGATCCCACCACTTCGGAACAAGTTTTTGTTGGTTTCATTTGCTTGCGATTTATCCACTATTGTGTCCAGTAAGTAGGAGGAATAAAAAATGAAATTTAGTTTAGAAAACGAGAAGCTCAGAACGTTGAAGATTCAAGTGATGAAAAACCAGTATGGCAATAGTGTGAAAACTAAGCATACCTCAAAAGTCGGTGTAGAATGGAAACCGTCATGCACCATAACTTTGCAGCGATTAAAGGAAAAACGTAAAAGATAAAAATCCGGAGCTGATCAATCCGTAAGCAGTGCCTTTCACATTATCTGGTATCGCAGAAGCGATAGCATGCATATCTGACCTACACAATGGTCTTCCGATACATCTATCCAGTTTTTTTTGTTGCTCATTCAGAAACATCTGATACTAATTTAGTGGTAAAACAGAGATGGACGACCTGGTCTTTCCGAGGCGTGGGATAGAAAAACGACGAGCATGTGGTTTGAAGGCCACCTTTAACCACTTTGCTAAACGTGCATCAAAAGAAAGTTAGGAAAAAATCAGATAGAAAAAAGTTATCTGCATAACCACACTGATATTGATTTACAAGCAGTTGACGTAATTTGTACAGTGAATACATTGCTCAAGAGACGACGAAATGTGCATGACTCATCTTAAACAGTTCGCCTTCTAGTAACCTTGAAAAGAACAACGCTAATTGATATAAACGATGTATTTACAAAGGTTTCATAAAATAGGTCCAGAAAAAAGTTGTAAATTGATTCGTTAGTTAATAGAAGTAAAAGTACACTAACAGAAACGGTGCCATGAAAAAAAATAAACCCGCTCACTTCATTAACACCTTTAAGCAATTCACGGACGTATTGGCTCGGATGTCTCGTGGTAAAAAACTTCGCAGATGAACAAAATGAATAAGCAAACAACCAAATAATGTAGTCGGAGAATAAGGCAATAAATAGCTCCTTTATTATAGCAACGTGAAAGGACTATCAAAAATATATAAGGAGTGTGTAAAAGGGCATATTCCATAAACTATATTAACCAAGGGCGCGTTTGGCGCAGTGGTCGGAGGCGTCCTGCAACGCACACATGGGATCGATCACTCGCCCCTGGCTGACCAAGCCTTCCATCCTTCTGCTTCGGTAAATTGGTACCATGCTTGTCTGCGAGGATAACAGCACTATGAGTCATTGTAAAGATCAGACACGCATTCAATCACCTCCGAACGATGCTTCGTGAAGTGGAATTCATGGCGCATCCCTCAGGGATTGATCAACGTCGAGAGCTTTATCCTTTACCATCCTTTTACATTAATCGTAAGAAACTCAATACAAACACTAGGAAAAGCACAGTATACTAATGTAATCAGAGTTTGAAAGTTGAGTAAAAAAATTTGAACACGATCTAAGACGATAATCAAACTACCATAAAACATAAGTCTTAATAAATATACAGGCCAGGATGTCCGTAGCACGGAAAATCAAACAGGAATAAAAATTCATGCTAAAGATATCAGTATCGAGTGGACTTGTTCCAAACATCCGAGGAATAAGTAGGATTGGTGAAACATGTGTAAATTACTTGGAAAAGTACGGTACGCATTCAATTTTAAGATTAATTGGCAATAGGAAAGTACCAATGGAATGAAACAGTGGAGTATTCAAGGACTTCATAGACTCATAGATTTATAAAATAAACTTTGTTATATAGCCCTAAGCGTTTATGCGTAAAATATTGTTTCAGCTATAAACCTGACCAGAACTAAAATTTCCAAGGAACTTGATCACGAATTTCGATTTTTTAATACTCCAACGCAAGAATGGCAGCGACGAACACTGGTGATACACTGGGGAACACTATCATGTCCTGATCGGTGAAATCTTGCTCGTTCAATGACTTTTATGTATGAAATCTAAGCCTCTGCACAAGAAATTTAAAACCATGGCCCTTGTATGTATATTGAAGAAAATCAGAATCACATCGTGGTAGAACAAGAGAGATTGCAACTTCTAGGCAAAGATCGTATAGTGCAAGAGATTTTTTATTTAATAAGGTTCAGCATGAGATGAGAAGTGTTGTTTCCAAGTAGAAAGCCTACTACTTTCGCACCACAAGCATTGAAATCAATGGGCGTTAACGCAAATGAACCAGTAGTAAGATCCATAGCCTCAACAATTTCCGTCCTGAGTGGAAACGGTAGATAGTTCAGCAATAATGATGTAACTTTAATACAGCACTACTCAACGAAATCGAAACAAAGGAAGCCTCTCTTATGGCATAATCTTTCAATCAATAACTATTTCGCAAAAGTTTGAAGGTGCTCCAAAACTAATGTAAAAATAAGTACGACTTGCTCTTGCATGCTCTATTAATGATCCAGAAAACATCAAGACGACTGCACAATTTTCTCATAAAAATACTAGTAAATTATAGATACCAAAAAACTCGTGAAAAACCTCTGTTGAGATATTTACGAACAGAAAGGAAAGTGGCTGAACAGAGGACAAGGTTGGGTATAGTATACATCTGTATAAAGATATACTGCAACCACCATCATTGAAGGGTACCCGGAGTATCCGACGTTATACGGTGACTGCATAAGTTAATCTGTACGATTTCGAGCGTTAAGAAAACAATATTCTTTTCAACTTGGATCTTTAGCGAGAAAGTTCTCGGTCCTTATGAAGCAAAAAAAGAGCTAAGAAGGAAATAGCGAAGGAAGAGAAGAAAGTGAATGACGACCGAGAAACACCAAACAAGATAACTCTATAAAAGAGTCTATAATACCTATATAAATCAACATAATTAAACTGAACACCAGGAATTAAGACCAACACTTAACGAGATACAGTATTTAGGAATTAAATACATTGGATCAAAGAATAATTAAGTGAAAAACGAGCACCAACGCGTGGAAGGGAAAACAAGCTTAAGTTTTAGTAGGCGTTAGTATATTAGTGTTGTTAGTCCAAGTGTACTGAAGTATAACTCTAATCAATGATTCAAAAACAAAGAGAAAAGAACTATAATAAACCCACATATTGATGGAAATCGAAGAACTTTGCTGTGAGCAACGGCAACGAGTTGACCTTCTTCTGTTTTTGACACCAGACTTCCAGTTCAAGAAGAGCTCGACAGTATTTCTCCAATTCAGCACGACGTTCATCCAAGAAGTCAGAATCCTGGAACGACACAGCATGGAAGTCACAGTTTTAAAACTCAGGACCGTGATAAACGGTTATTTTCAAAACAAATATGGAATTCAGTCAAGGGCATAACATTAAAAGTCCACTTTCCAAACAGCTAACAGAAGTTTCCATTCTACTACAATAAAAAATAGATGAAAATATTCATCTCAATGTAGTAGTAGACCTCCAAACCCGGTCTACGTAGTATACGTTTAAAAAAGTCTCAATAAATATACTACAGTTTCATAATATACAATATACTAAAAAGCATACAGGATAAAGCTCTCGGCGTCGATTAATCTCTGAGGGATGCGCCATGAATTCCACTTCACTACGCATATTTTGGAGGTAATTAAATGCACATCTGGCCTTTAAAATGACTCGCTGCGGTGTACCGATGTCCCGAGCCTGTGCTGCTATCCTCACACACCAATCTGCCGACCCCGGATGGGAAGCTTAGTGTGCCAAGAGCGTGGGATTGATTCCACCTGTGTGCTGCATGGCGCCTCCGACCACTGCGCCACACGCGCCGTTTACAATATGCTACATACCACATAATATATAATGTAGTTCTGTTACCATATATAATTTCCCAACAGAAGTGTAGTGCATTGGTCGGAGGCACCTTGCAATATACATAGGATCGATCCCCGCGCCATAGATCCACCAACCGTCTATTCCTCTGGCGTCGGTAAGTTGAACAGCAGATTCGTCTGGGAAGATAGTAGTACCGGTTTGATACATTGGTAGGCCACCGCGGGTCATTGTAAAGGCCAGATATGCATTCAGTCACCCCCAAACTATGCCTGGTAAGGTCTAATGGATGATGG